CAAGTGGCCCTTTTGATGCACTCATGGTGCTGGCCACACACATTGTTACATCCAATTACTRTGCCCAATACAATGTATTGTTTAGGGAAAGTGTTCTATTAGACAGTGATAAGGTTAGAAATATCTAAAGTTTTTCATTAGATCTTCTCAAATTATAATAGGGGAAAGATCAGAGGGTAAAACAACTGTCTTATTTCTAGCTCTATATTTTACTTTTTTTTTCCTCCCAGAACTCCTTGATTTTCTTCTTTGTTTCTTCTCTTTCATTATTTTTTCCTTGAATTTGTAGCTATTGCTTTAGCGGTAATAATGAAAAGTGAATCCAAATAATTCAAATGAGAAATAATAAATAACCAGAAATGAGAAATAATAAATAATCAGCAAGTACTCTGCAGAATTAGCAAACTGTAAAAAAAAATGTTCTTCAGACTGAAAATTACTTTGATTTCACGAACTATTTAACAGAATAATCAAGTCCAATAGTATGGTACCTTCACAGGAAGAATCATCCATGATCATCTGCATTAATTCTATCTGCCCTCCTTCTGCAGCGTGATGCAGAGGTGTAGCATTTAACTCATCCACTTTGGCAAGTCCAGAACGATTCTTCTTAATGAAGCTCCGCAGTCTACATGCACTTCCATCTGAAATCACCTATTTTGGACACAAATATTCTCATTTTCATGTTTTCCTAATAGACAAGATGTTAGTCATATGTAGCTGGTAGCAGTTTCACAGAGAAGTACCCAGATCCTCCTCAGTTAGGTCAACAGCAAAACATAGATTGATTCCTATAGATTGCAAAGGCATATCTACTGGTAAAAAAAAGAAAAAAAAAGATCTTGCATCCTTTATTTTGTCTTCTGTGAGAAGAAGATCCTTTCTCCACCACAAGAAATCCAAAGAAAGCAATTAGGCAAATTTATCACTTGCATTTTTTATTCTCTGTGCAGCTGTGGCCCAGTCAAATGAATTCAGCAAGAGGAAAAATGAATAATCTTGATAATTTCCTCTTCTAGTCCTTTCTACCAGACTGACAGTATGAGCAATGCTGTCAGGTTCAGCCCTTGGGGTTCTATGACGTTCCACACATCAGAACAAGCCACAAATCCTTTAATTTACAGCTCTACTCCCAGTGTGTCCCCTGGGCTAATCCTCAGCCTGAAACAACCCAATGTCTTTGTCGTATAATGTAAAACACCCTCTGCCTGCTCTGCCTTCTGACACCTTCTGCTGCATTTTATGACCACAGCCCACTCTGGAAACCCTTCCCATTTTTCTAATGGGAAGTTCTCCTGGTCTTTTTACTGCAGCATTGCAAAAAGCATCAYTGTTTATGAGAAGATAAAGAGGGAGCAACTGCAACGGAATAAATAGGAATCTCAAAATAAGTTACTAAAAAGATCAAATAGGAATAAAAAGAAAAAAAGAAGAAAAATAATTCACTGTAAGAAAAGCGCAACAAACCTTCCCAAAGAGAGGTAAGGAAGCAAAATGAGGAAAAAAAGGAAATCCTCTAAATCATTGTTCTCTCCTCAACTGCCAAACAACCCAAACTTTGATCTCCCAGTGTCTCTCAAGCCATAAAAACAGTTTCTGTTTTCATTAAGTGAATATACAGTATGGAGCTGCTCATGTTAAACTTCCTTCTGCTAAGCAGCCCCGTTGACCACAGTGAGATTACTCATGTGAACAATGTTACAGATGTTTCTAAATATTTATAAGATCGGGGCCAAACACATGGGCAGCATCYGCTTCAGAAGTACAGTCGGAACACGCTGAGGGAAAGTAGGTGGTATCACAGCTCAAGGGGTATTTAATGAGTCAACAATCACAATAATGAGGTCTATTATGCACACAAATGCCCACACATTTCATGCCTACCAAAAGGAAAATATTTATTTTACAGCCCTATATATATGCACACAGTATCTTTTATCTTGTCTTTTACTCTAACTTGATTTTAACTGTAGTGAATTTTAAATCTTCGCATTGATTTAAACCAGATTCTTCCTCTAATTCCATGGGARTCTTTTTGCCAATTTAATAAAAAATGGGACCAAAGCTTTGTGCAACAAGACCTTTTGCTAACACCAACCAAAAAAAAAGGTATTTTAGCAATTACTGCAGTATTTCCCTACCAAAATAGTAAAAGAAATCCACTATGTGTTCTCAGTGCCTTCTTTTAACTTCTGGAAGAGCAAAGCAAGTGGTTTTGAATGAGAGCTGCTCCTCTGCTTTATCTGCATGGCTTTATCTGCCCCACAGTTGCAGATTCCCCACTAAAACGACACCTACGTGACACAGAAGAGCTGCTGCTAACAACTACGTCTGGTCACACACACAGAAAACGAGGCTGGAAAAGAGCTRGAGGGATCATCAACCCACCCACTGCCTTTGGCACCCACACCTGGTCTGGTCTTAAAAACCTCTGAAGTTGCCCAGCCTCTTCCTTAGCTTAATTATTCCCAGCTATGAAAAAGTTTTAAAATGCTTCCCCAACGCCAGCTCTCGTTTTCCCTACGTAAAYGCATCATTCCTCGTCCTGCACGGGGATGGAAACAGATTTCATCTTTTGGGAGTCAATGTTGTATTCGCAGATCACAGCAGCCTCTCCTTCTGTTCACGGTGGTCCCGGCTCCTTCAGAGTTTCCTTTTGGGCCGTTTTGCCGGGATTCCGGCTCACTCGCACCGCTCTCTTTAGCGGGACGTCCCTGCCGGGCCACGTCCACGAGATGGCGGCGTCGCGAGGTGCCACCTCCCCACGCGATCCGGACGCCCTCGTCCACGCGGCGACGACACCACTTCGCGCGGCGCCTCCGGTCCCGTCTGCCACCCTGCGGCCGCCCTTCCCGCAGCGCGAGGAGGGACACACCGAGGAGGGACAGACCCCAAAGGAACAAACCCCGCTGCCCGCCCGCGCCCGGCGCCATTTCGCGCCTCCCTACCCGCCCGCCCGCGGCCGCCCCCGCGCGGCCGCCGCGCTCTGCCCCGCCGCCTCGCACGCACCTTGAAGACGTCCTGCGAGGCGACCGAGGCGGCGTCGGCCTCGCACACCACGCCCTGGTACGAGGTGGACGCCGCCGCCGCCTTCTCCCGCAAGCGGAAGAGCCGCAGCAGCGAGCGCTTCATGGCGCCCGCCCGCGCCGGCTCCGGCTACCTGCGGGAGAGGCGAGAGATCGCGCTGGGGCCCGCGGTGAGGCGAGGCGGGAGGCGGGGAAGGGCGGGCGGAGCGGCCGCCCGAGGCGGCGGCGCTGCCGGTAGCGCCCGCCCCGCTGCGCTGCGCTCCGGGCAGCAGCTCCGCCGCGGCCGCCTCGTGTGGGGAACGTCCCGCCGCGCGGCGAGAGGAGAGCAGGCGGCCCCAGCCCCGCCGTGCTGCCACCGGGGCGAAAACACGAGGAATAAACAGGAAAATCCCCTGAACTGGGGCAGCCGGAGCGGCGGGAGAGGGCTGGGGCTGCCCGGGGAGCCGCGCGGGTGCCAGAGCCATCGCCATTGCGTCCTTGAGGACCGGCCGCGTAGCATCGTTAAATAAAAAAGAACATTATATATGAAAGAAAAAAACTACCATGAGGGCAGCTCAGTGCGAAATAAGTAAATAAATAAGTGCCAACATGCAGCAGCAAACACCTGTTGCGAACTGAGAGGAAAAMAGTGTTTTGGGCGTGCTTAGCGCCTTTGTTAGGTGGCAGTTTAGTCCCTTAGTTGCCTTAGGGCAGCTTCTTTACTGGCTTATTGTTTTTCTGGTCTGATGAGGGCTGTTTTAAGCCTGGTTTGTCACCTTAAAATGCTGAATTTTCTGTGATTAATTTCTCAGGAGTTATTTTGCATTGAGACAAGTTTTCTTATTATTAATAATTTCAGAATTTATCAGAAAAGTAGTAAAAGCCGCAGCTTCCTTATCGTGACTAAGTATTTCAGAGGGTAAATGGCCATAGCCACTCTAACCCGGTCATTCCTGCTGCGTCTTTAATGGACTTGTTTGTAATTCAGCAGCTCTAATGGTCACTGAATTTCCTCTGGCATTTCATTACCAAACCTTGTGGGATCCCTGTCCAGTTACCACCATCAGCTTTATTTCTGCTCATTCTGAATAATTCTGTGACTGCTTCCAGATCGGTCTTACACTGTTGATCCCAATGCTGATTTTAAGGGAACCAAAGGGACCTCCTTGCTTTGCAGTCCATTTGTTCCTTTTCCATGTATCATAAGCTTTAATCAGGTACAGAAAATCCTTCCTGCGTGTCATATTATAGTTCAGCTCTCTTAAGCGGCTAAGAGGAGGAACTTAGTGAAACTTTTCAAAAAATCCAAATATTTATGGTATCATCAGGAGCATCTGTAACTTGTTGTGACTGCTTTCTTCAGAAGATTCTGGCAACACGTGGGATGCTTCATTCTGCCAAAGCTGTGTTTGTTTTCTAGACCCTGGAGACTCCAGAACCTTTTATAGTGAACTGCTTAAGCTACACAGCCTTGATTAATTAATTAATCTTGAAATCATTAGGCTGGATAATTTTAAGTTGTCTTAAGCATGTGTTCTGTAGGGTTTTGGTCATAATAATTTTCAGGCAACATTAAAACAGGAAAAAAATAACTTCTTCAGCACATATTCTGTCATAGTTACTACACCGAATAGTTGCACGTTAAGATAGATTTTTATAGTTATGTTATCATTAAATGCAATTGAAAGAAGCAGGGTAAGTAGTTTACACYTTTGGAAGGAAATGGTGCTCAAGAAAGCTAACCATTAAGGTGATCTTGGGATGAAGTCACTCTAGAGGAGCCCTCTCCAGTTCACTTTTCCTGGTATTTCCATTGAGGAACTGGCATTTCCAGCCAGAGCTGGTGAGATTGTTCACCTTTCCATGGTGAAGTTCCCTGTAATTCCCTGTTTAGCCTTGGCTTTGCTGTCGCTTGTACTCCTCTTCATAGGAAATTCAGCTCAACAAATAGCAATCTAGACATTGTATAAAGAAATACATTTCTGAAATAAAAGGTTTCCTGCCAGAATCATTAACTGGAAATCGACTGGAAATGTTTTATTACCACAGAAACACTGGTAAGTTTTGGTAAATTCTAGCTTTATTTTATCTTTTATTCCTAAAATCCCCTAAACTGCAGCCAGAATGAAACAACCTAAGTCATGATCTTAGGACAGCTRTGGGGTTAGTTATTTTCTTCACTATGACTATATTACCTCTTCCTTTAAAATTATTGTTAGGTGTTAGTCTTTTAGTAAATGTTCAGAAGAATGTTCACAGTATGAAAAATAATACCAAGATTTTCCATTCCCAGAAGGAATCAAATGGAATTGTAAGTAGGCTGACCGCAGCTTTTATTTCTACATAGTGATTTGACATAAGAAACTAATTCACATAAGTAACCTTTCTTGCACTTGTTTTTCCCAAGAGTGGATTAAAATACATTCATACCATTTTATTTCAAATATGATCTTGCTAATGGTAGAATAGTGAATCCATTAGCACAAGCAAGATTCACCTAAAGGTAACCATACTGCAACACTTCATTAAAAATGTTTGTTTAATAATTAAATTGTATATACAGTAAATATGTACCATCCTCCCAGTACTGTAGCCAGAGTAAGAGAATAATATAATTTCATTAATTTTTTTAGGCTTAGGAACTGCAAATCCAGCCAAATACCTACAGTGAGAGGGATGCACTGCTGCATGGKTTTTTTTGTTTGTTTGTTTTTGTTTTGTTTGGAAAGTTCCTTATTTGGCAACTGTTACACAAGTTGGGATGTGTAAAATGATATTTAAAATTTTAGATTGTCAGCTTAATGTAATAAGCCAAGTGATTTTGTGTTGTTACTTGTCAGATATTGATTTCAGTCATCTAGTAATTAATCTGCATTATTGCCCAAACAAGCAAGACCAGATCGTCTCCTACCAGTTGTTAGGGACCCTGGTACTTATCCGGGAGAAAAGTTCTAGTATCTTTGGAAATGAAGATGAATTAACTCACATTTTATGTGTCTAGCCATTTTCATTGTCTTTTTTTTTCTATGCTTATCATAGTATTTAAGTTATCAATAGCTTTGTTATGTGCTTCATTGAAAAAAAAATGTATTTTTTATGGCAGTAATTTGTTCTACTAGCCTGGACAGTGAAAGTGCACTCTGAAAGTGAGTATAAATCAACCCTAAAGTTAATGATAAGCCATTTATAATAAATTGAGAGGCAGGATACATAATGAGAGCCTGCTTAGTGAGGACACTTCCCAAGGTGTCCAGCAATTAATTGTAGTGACTGGTAGCTGCAAATTTATTCTCAGACAAAAGCTTTTAGGTATGTTCAGCTGGATCTATAAAAGGTTGAGTTTTGTGGTAGCTGCCTCCAAGAGTGAATCCTTCAGGCTGTAAAGCAGAGACCTCAGTCATGAACATCTCTTAACTTGGGAAAAGCCTAAATGCTAGGCTTCCAAAACATTCTGGTCTGTAATCCTCAATAATAATATAGTCTTGGAGATGGAAATCTTAAAAAATGACTGTAAAAAAGAAAAGTAATCCGAATGTCTCCCAGTAATTCATAGCACTCTTCAGAAATAAAACTGAGTTTACAATGTACGGTAACAGAGATGCAAAATAAGTAGGAATAATTCCTTGTCACAATTACYTTACTTGTATTTATTAATGAGTTGAACCTTTCCACACATTCATTATTTCCTAATGATTTTCTAAAGGAAATGCATAGTAAATTCTAACTCATGGTCCTGGAGGTTCCCTGCTAAGTAAGATGTACTTTTTTAGATAAGTAAGTTACTTTCTAAAACAAATGTTATCGCTAGAGGATTAAAATAGTGGTAGAATTATCTTACCTCTACATATTAGATGTATGTATATCTTGTCATACAGTCARTTATGTTCGTAGCAATATAGTCAATTATGTTTGTAGAAATTAGGTAGAGTTTCAAATATATGTTCKGTCAGAAAGTAATGGAAATTGAAATAGAAAAGTGAGAACTAGAGGAAAAAAAATAAAATAGAAAGGAACTAAACTTTAGGTATGTAAAACTATGTAAAGTTGAGGAAAAACTCGTCTCAGCATTTATTTTTCAGGGGGAAAATACTGACACTGTTTTCATATAAGAGTGAATGGTGCCATACCCAGGAAGCATCTCACAGCTAGACCAAAATCCTCAAAATTTTTCATGTTTTTTTTTTTTTTTTTTTTCAAGGGACCGCTCATGGAGACCTGCCTGGACTACTTCATCCAGTCTGCAAACATATGTAGAACTGTTTTGAATAGTCTCTTCAAGTGTGGAAAAGTACTGTTAGTAAAATACTAGTGCATGTTATTTCCAGCTTGTTGATGATACGCATTTCAAACTTAATTTTATGGCAATATCTCTATCCTTCATTCCAGCTCTTCTTGTTCTTCGTCAGCTTGTTCTTCGGCTTGTTCTTCTCTCCCCTTCTCTGCATTTTAAGGCTGCTTTTCCTTTCCCTCCCAATATTTCTACATAAATTATCCAGACAATGACTGTCTTCTCCTACAGCCTTTATTGAGTGTTCTTTCATTTTTTCTACTAAGGAGATATATTTAGTGCTCTGAACTTCTTATGTTTCTGGAAAAAAACCATATCCGGCCCTTCCCTCATTTGTGATACCTAAAAGATAAAACCTAAGAGGGACGTGGCTTCTGTCTGGTGGTTAACCTGAGCTCTTGTGTGAGTAACCATGAGTTAAATAGTGCCTGCGCTGCAGAAGTGCCTAACAATGGAATTCTTCAATGTATAGTCGCTGTGGAAAAACACACTGGTGTAACTGCAACAGAATATCGATCTTTCAGAATATCATTCTCTTCCTCTTATATACATCAGACCACATCTCGAGCTTTCATTTCTTTCTAATATGAATAATTTAGTTTGCGAAATATCTCTATGAATTTTATTTCTTCTCCAAGAACCGCTCTTGCCATTTCACTGAAATTGAAAAGCAGATTTTTTGTTATATTAAACTAATCCTCTGGACAGGAAAGAATTCTACCTTAAAAGGCAGAATTATTAAAAGATCTGTCATATAGGCCATACAAAATATGTGTTTTAAAACTGAAGAAAACATTGTCTTGAAAATGGGACCAACGTAGCCGAAAATTCTGCCAAAATGACACTAACAGCTGAAAACTACCTGTTTTGAACTTGAATTTGTAAAGTGTAGGAGTATRTAGTTTCTTTTAAATTTGTCACTTTAAACAAATATAATTAAAGGATAAAAGGGAGGTTAAAATAGCTCATCTTTCACTACAGTATTCATATGCTAAATAGTTTTAAAGGTAATTTTCTTGGTCTTGATTTCCTCAAGTCTTGTACATTACTAACGTAACTGAAGGAAGGTAGTAGTCTCAGAGTCATTAAGATGTTGTGCTTCATTGCTTATTATTATGGAATACATATGGATAGTTTTTCTGCAATATTTTCTATTTTGTATTTAGTAAATATATAACTATGACTAGACCCTCAGTAATAATCATCTATTTTAATCTCAGCAAATAAAATTAAATCGTTTATGTATAGAAACATTATTTTTCAAGTTGAATAAATATGTGGCAATGAGATAGGTGCAATATTTAGAATTTTTTTTTCACATGCATCCATTAGGGAAAACAAACAATATCTGGTGTCSTAAACCTTAGGTTGTGAAAAAGTTTTGCCAATGCAAGTAAATGTAAAGTCGTAACAGGAAAGGATGTCCTATTTTCATCTTCCTGCTTGCAAAAAATAGATTTAATTAAAATTCACTCATATATGTATCATGCAGTTCTCGAGTTAGCTTAAATTTTGCCAAATGTAAATTTAATTATGAATTCCAAATATTTTATCTTGTATTTTCTATATAAAAAGCTGCCTGAAAGCGAAAGGAAAACAGGACCAACAAAAACTTGAGCAACAGTATTTGAGCTACAGGAAAACTATATTATGCTTACCATTCAAGAAGTTTGCAGGTGATTTCTCTCTGAAGCAACATATATATATATATATATATACACAAAAAATACAGATAAAACAATTTGAATCCTTATCTGATGTTTATATCAGTAAGTTCTTGAGACGTGTGAAGTCACCAGTTATGTCACTCGGTGGCTTAGGCTGTGTAAATGGAGGCTTATTTAAAAGAAGTGGGTATGTGTTGGTTGGTGTGGGAGGAGCATCAATATTTACCGAGTGACCCTTGAAGCTTTCTTTTTTTAATATATCTGGCCAAACTTCATCCATTTTCATTCGTGGTTGCAAATGTACCTGGCGTTCCAGTAGTTTTTCTAATGCAATATCTTAGAGTAGTTTCAGTTTTGTTAGGTGGTCACTAGAGGGTACTTGTTTACCTATTTGCAATGAACTAATTGCTTCTAATGGAAGATCTAAACATCACTGAAGAAGAATATTGTCTACTTATGAAGATTCACTGTACTAATAAATGTTTAAAAAATTAGAATTGGTGTATGAAGTGTATCAGACTGTGATCAATACCTAATGCAATAAGGGGCAGCATAAGATTTGCATGTACTTTTTCTTTGAAAAGAAAATCAAACTTCGTTTTAGGCACTTTATTTTCAAAGTAGCACGGAATTGCTTGGTTCATTTGAACTAATTCTCAGATGACTTCTTGGCCCCATCTTCATTAGACTGAAGTCAGATTATACAGTCCTTGGATGCTAGAACAGTTTCTGTGGCTAGAATTTTATATGGGAAAATATTTCTTGTATTAGCATATGCCAGTCAAGTTATCTTTCCACATATATTAAATTACATAACTGTATAATCTGGAAAAAGTAGCTCATGCATCTAAACCGCCTAAGTTCTGGAAGATTTCATCTTCTTGCTTCGGGATGCCTCTCTGATTTTTAAACAAGGACTTTGATTTGTGGTTTAAAGTGGCACATTTCTAATACTTTTCCATTATTTTGATCCCACTGCAGGTGAACAACACCAAATATTTAGAAGAAAATATTAAAGTAGTCTAAATGGGCAAGTGAAAGGACTGCAGCTCCTGATTCTGCAGCTTGCTTTCCTAAGCATGCTAAAACACCTGATGTGGCAAGTTAGGCATGATAGCTCTGCTTACAAGCAAAATATATTGGTGACTGGAGATGGTAGATGAAGAAGAGCATGATAGCCCAGCGACAATCACACAACTTGGAAATGTCTCCCTACAGAAGCTGTCTGGCATCATTCCGTTTGTGCATCTCTTTGGGAATGGAATCTCTAGCTCAGTAAAGAGCTGCACCCACATTAAGAATGTCAATAATAGCTGAAGTTTGGTAGCACAGTGTGATTATCTCTAAAAAATAAGAATCGTGACGGGGAAAAAAAAAGGGGAGGACCTTATTTTTTAAAAAATAAGGAGCCTGAGAAAGACTTGATAGATGTAGTACTGTCACTTGAGTAATTTTCCAGTGTCATCATAGATCGCTTGGGCCATGAAATTTATTGGTTACCTGTTCACAGAGTCTACAAACAGAAGGTCTGTGCCCTAGTTCGTTGATACAAAGATAAATGGTATTTAGTTGATGTAATCATTTTCTTCAAAATTAAAAGTTGCTCTGAAACTGTTAATATTACTATGCTATTTCTGATGGGAATCTTCAAAAACAATGAATTTAAGGGGGAATTTCTGCAGTTACTAAGTCACCTGATAACACAAGGACTCACATATTCCCCAATTGACCAAATTCTACCTCAAAGCCAGTTAAGTTTCTTGTTCCTGCTAAAAGTTTTCTCCAATATCTAACTAGCCCTTGCAATAGTCAGGAACTCTATCTCTATTTTCTCATCTAATTTGTTCATGCTCTAGGGATAACCATTTGCTCTTGGTCAATGCTCTTGTCTCTTTTAAGTTGCTCTTCCCTCACCATGGTATCAAGTCCTAACAGAGTCTCAGAACCTGTTCCAGTTTGTTCATATTCTTTCCTTCTTAGCAATTTTAGGCACATTAGTATTAGATCTTTCAAGATTTCCAGATATGACTTGCCAGTTAGTTTCAGAACATTTACTGAACCCATTTTAACCCTTTCTGTTGCCCTTGCATCCTTTTGACTATTCATATATAGACAAACAGCACTCCTAAGACTTCACCCTCTCTCTCCTTCCTGACTGTGTCCCTATGGTCTACATTATTCTTTTTGTCTTATATCCCTCCAGGGGATAGAGAAATTCTACCAACCTTAATTTATAAATCAGACAGAGAWGCTCATAAAGCATAATAAGGATATTTAGCTTTTTAACACTCCCCTCAGGAAAAAATCAAGCAAGAGGTAGTATAATGTGAGGAAGAAGGAACACCAAGAAGCAACTGTGCCAGCCRGAATAGAACCCAGACTACGAATAATGTGGAGATAAATTCACTTTTTGCCCCATGTTTTTAAATATGAGTCTAGCTACATAAGTATTGAAAGCTTCCTTTAACATTTAGAAGTCATTATGTGCAAAATCAAAAATGGACCCTGATTGAATGAATGGGAATTAGCTGCTTAAATACCTTGGGGACTTGAACCTGAGTCATTTAGCCTTTTTTAAGAATTGAGTTTTTAAAACTGACAATAAAACATTAGGAAAACTGCCTGTAAAAAGGAATTCACAGGAGTGGCAAAAGTGATAGAGGTGAAGGAGGAAGAATCAATGTTCCATAAGTCACGTGGCAACTGAAAGGTGATAATGTATGAGCACAGCAAAATGCCTGTAACGGAGGAACAGATAGGATGAAAGCAGACAACTTTGAGAATCGAAACCAGCAGAGAAATCAAAGAGAATGAAAGCAAAAAAGATCACTGCCAAGATATTTTTGTGAAAATAGCTCCATAGAATGGAGAAAGAGTGAAGGGTAGCAGTGCTAAAGTCAAAGCAAAGATTTTAGATGAGCTGAGGTTAAAAAGGTGCTAAAATAATGTAGAATATATGTCTAAAGATACAACTTGTATTTAGTTTAAGCTTTGTGTTTGCATTGCGCTTCTCACTAGGTGTGCTACTTTAGAGAAAAGGAGAAACTTTTTTTAATCTCAATTCATTATCACTTTGTTTAGTATAAAAGTCAAAAGCACACTGCAAAAAATGCATTACACCCTTGATTCTTGAATAGATACTTGTTTTTACTTAAGGAAAATTTTGACAGCTACACTGTAGCAGACTTCTGTGGGATGATAGTATGAAGTATTATCCAGTATTGTTAGGGCATTATTGTGTATTTTAAAGAATTATAACACTTCAACAAAATTACTTGGAACAAATCATTATGGATTGCCTTGTCTCTTTTGGCCAAAACAGAAGAAAATATCTTTCAAAAAAAAAAAAAAAAATCAAATCCTTTGTATCTTCTCTGCTGTCATTTCTCACATTAATTCAAAGAGCAGCAAAACTCTTCTAATATAAATCCAGGAAGTATCTTCAAGCCACCACTTCTGTGCCAAGAACATTATTAAGCTTTGTAACTGCTCTGTGAAAGAGATGGCATTGAACCACTCCACTCCTAACACAGGATTCTCAGATACTGGGGATGTGTTTTACCTATTTTGACTGTATGTTTGATGATTTTTAAAACCAGAAAGGCACAATGGGATGCTTTTGGTGGAAACTATGTCCCTGCGTTTTCAAAACTGCAGAAATTCAAACAAATAGAACCCATCCCCGAGTTCTGCAATTGCCCTCGTATTTGATAAATGGCCATTTTTTAAAATATCTTCTATCAAGGGATAAACAAGTATAATATATTGAGTCTTTTGTCTAAGTTTAACCACCTTCTATGMTTTCCATGAGTCTATTGCATTGAGCCCTATACAGATTCTGTATTTACATTCATATCAATGATCATATTTTAAAAAGTCTTCTTTGAATATATGTTCAATATGAAGTAAGAATATGCAATGTAAAAACAGAACTCAAAAAAAAAACCTCACTTGTATTTTGCCTGAAGACAAAGCAAAAGGTGCTGCTTGCTATGCTATTAACTATTTGCTGTAATCAAAACCAGTTGATTTTATTGGAGGTACTTATAATGGAGAAGGCCTGTATCAGCACTACATGTTTATTGCATTAGGATTTAGTAGAGCTGTACTGATTTTGCCAACAGTTGAGTTTAGTTGCTGGAAAAAGTAGTAGAAGTGCTTATTATACAGCCATTATTAGGAAGAAAAAGGATATTAAGTTCCTACTTTCCACAGGTTAGTAGAGAACCTACGCTTATAGGCGTAGTTTAGGGTATCTCTACGTCCAATGTCAGCCTTTTGAGTTTTTTTGTTTGTTTGTTTGATATATTTTGTTTGTTTGCACACGTGGCTTTGCAGTCAGTTAAGATTTTTTAAAGAAGCCTAAAACAGTAGGTACTCCATTAAAATTGGGTTCCTAACTCTCCCTAGATCTTTTGAAATGATTGAGTTTTTACACAGTGTTTTTCAGCGTTGCCCATTGGGTTAAATTTCCATCTGCCTGTTTTGAGGGCCTGTATTGATTGCCTTA